GATAAAAAGGTAACTTTGTTATTTAACCTATAATAAAACAATGAAAATAAATAGCTAAAACAAAATAAAATAAAAGAAAAAACTATTCCCCTCGCCCCACCTGATGGTTACTCAGTGAGCCATTCCACTCGTATAATAATTGAACTAGAAGTTCGTGAACAGTTCCTGTGATGAACATTTGTTTTTTTATTTTCCCTTCATAATGAAAATAAATCTGGTGAAGCCTTTAAAATATTTTAGTTTTGTAATAAGCTATTTGCGCTCTTATATTCCTCTTTGTTGCATTGTATATTCAATTTATATGACTTATTGTACAATTAAGGATTTGGGGTGGTGCTTTCGGCCCGAGAATACTGGTGGTCTTGGACAGTGGATTTGGGCGATGGTTCACGTGGGGTGGGGTGGCGTGGGTATGAATAGTTTTTTCTTTTTCTTTTATTTTAGTTATTTATTTTAATTGTTTTATTATAGGGTTAAATAGTAAACTTATCTTTTTACCTTTTTAAATTGGTCAAAAATTGGTCAAAGTTAAATTTTATTGGTCAACAAACTGTCAAATTCATTCATTTGGATTCCAGGTGTATATTTTTTATAGGTTTGGAACTGTGGGTGGTAAAAAATGAAAGTTAGAATAATGTCTACAATAAAGTGAAAAGTTAGGGACCGATGCTACAATTTTTCCATAATTTAGGAACAAATTGAAGTTTAGCGATTGATTTGAAATGAGCATGAAAATTCCGAGACTGATTGAATTTTTGACGTTCAACTTTTTAACTCAACAATATCATTCTTATATTTTCCACTTCGATTCTAGAATTTTTACCATAATACCATTCGAATGTTAATCAAACATACAAATATTTTTTTTTAATAAAAATAGAAATATATATATATATATTCGGAATGTTTCCCTATAATTATATTTTGCACTCAATCACTAGAGTTTGGTCTTGACACTGATCAGTTTGGTACACCATTAAAGTATTTGTACATCATAATTTACAGTCCCTTTACATGTTGAGAGGACACACATGAAGTAAAAAACTGTGGGCCCCCTCACAATGAGGGTGCCGTAAGAGTGTACAACTTTTAATGTTGTACACTAAGCAAAGCCATTGATTAAAATTAATTATTTATAATATTTGACCGGATTATTTTTGAGTACCAACACCTATGCCCTGGTAATGTAGCAGGCTTCTATTTGCCCACAGTTCACGTAATACATGTAGTCATATCAATCAATCATATTTGGTGTACATAACATCATCATTTTACACTACCACTTATCATTACACTATTGGACGATTTGAAAATAAAATAAAATTTTCATCCAATCAATTATTGACAACATGAATGATGTCAACCATAATGTAAAGAAAATGATGTACAAATGACATAATTCCATGTCAATTCTGGCATTACATAATATAGACAATCCAATTAATCAGTTACAATTACATATCTCTCTAGCATTGCTTCTACTTTTGTCGTAGTTGAACGAAGAATACTCTGTATCATCATGCGTGTCATCAATAATATTATTTGTCATCACGAGTATTAATTACCATTTTATATGATAGTGAACTTCACTATTACATTGTACAACGATACATTTTCATTCATTGGATTGTGTGTCTGCGAGATTCATGACTACAAATTGGTACCAAGCACAAGTGGTGATACATAACATTATTCTGAACCTACACCCTATTTGGCTTAGCTTTTGAGAAGTTAGAAGAGCTTTTGAAATATAAATGTTACTTTTCGATTTATTTGATTAATTGTATAAAATTATTTCTTTTAATTAGAAGAATTTTTAGAAGAAGTTAGTTCAATTTTGCTTCCCCTACAAATTCTTCTGAAGAAAAACTATTTTCAAAAGTTAATTTTTGAACAATATCGAAGGTAGTTTCTCAAAAACTCAATTTTGATGACATTGCATTATATTAAAATTTATCTGATTTTAGCTTTTCTCTCTCTCTCTTCCAAACAAAATAATTTTCACATTTTTATATAACCTTTTCATACTTTTTAACAATACATTAAAAAAAGAAAAAACACTGTCTAAAAAGAAAAAAGACGGAATTACAAATGAGAGGAGGTGGGGGCGAGCCCCACCTGTTTTTTGATAATTGTTGTGGGACCCGACCCCCTACAGTGACGAGGTCTGTGTAGCCCCTGTGAATCGAGCTCCTATACATGGAGCTCGATCCTTCTAAAAGTCCCTTCCATACAAGCACTTAACTATGCGTTAGGTGATATTAAATGGATAAAACCAATAAAATAAATTTCATACACATGCACTTGATTGACCATATTATATAGTCCCCGTTTGGCCCTCATTAAATTCAATTATATTACATTCCATTTTTTTTCTCTTATTTTCAATCACACAATCTTTCATAAAATAATATTACACGTAAATCGAAAATTTTTCCTTCTTTTTCAACTACTCATTTTTCAAAAAAACACTATTCCACCTATTTTCATTTTCAAAAAATGGGGGCCAAACAGGAACTTAATGACTTATTGCCCATTACATCACATAAAAAATCCTCTCTAATGAAAAAAAATAATACTATTCATTTTACAGACAATATCTACGCCAGTAGATTGGTTCAAAAGCCACTATCCACTCGATCTTCTCCAAATCTGCATCTCCTTTCATAATTCTCCAGAGTTTGCGCCAATATTATTGATGTTTCTACTTTATCACACGTTATTTTATATGCTTACATTTCCCCTTTTTATTGACTTCAAACTTCATTCCCACCATTAAGAAAACTTGTTCCATTTTTTCTCTCAATCTTATTTCTCTCTCTTTGCCTTCTCGGTCGATTCAGAAATACAAAAAGTCGTACACGCACTTACCTCATAATGTGATTTATTGATTCGTAAACAGGAAATTTGATCAAAATCAAATCGTGCAAAGAGTCCCAATTTGGAACAGTAACTCCACGTCTAATATCAATAGTTATCAAACTTATTTTATATAAGTTGGGATGGCCTAGCCCTGTCCACTTGATTCAAGCAGTATGGCAGGCACACACAGGATCGAACATGAGAGCTCGGATCTAACCATGAAGAAGAGAAGGCACACCCAGAAAGCATTGAGGTCATTAACAGTTTTGCAGCTCAGCACTCAAAGGCAGTAAAAACTATCTGGCTAGCATGCCCAAGAAAAGTACGAGAGGATTTTGTCGATTCTGAACTTCTGAAAGTAATCTGGAAGATTAATCAAGGTCAGAGATACAAATTCACATGCTTCTTAAATGGACATCAAATTCTAATACCGAGGAAATGGTGAAATGGCCTCAGTTTACAACATGACTAATAATATCCGCAAGACAAAAGTGATGGAAAAAACAGTCCCTGCAAGCAGGCAACACTGAAGAATAGGTCCCTTCTTCCTTTGGCTCAAAAAATTCAAGTGGTGCAGGGTACCCTCTAGGATGGATTCTCCATCAAGAAAAAACACCTGAGAATTTCTTCATGATTAGAGAAGACTAAACAAAATATAACACCTAACCATTTAATTTTATGACACCTAAGCAAAAATAAAAAAAGAAAAACCAGGAACATATATCAACACGTAATAATATATATCGTAATAAGATGTTCTCACCCAGAGAAAAGGGTACCAACATCAAGAGCAAGTGGATCCCAAACAGGGACATTTCAAAACCTATATATCCCCTTCATGATATCTGGAAAGAACATTCTATTTCTTTCACTTGTGAATTAATTTAACGAAGTGGACAGCAAAGAACCATTACTCCAGTATAATTAATTAATTAATTAAACTGTACTGTGTTCATGCCTAGAATCAGAAATACATCAAATCACTTGCATTCCCTTCCCCTACTGTGTGGACGGAAGGGCATGAGAGTATTTTGTTACTTCAAACTTCGAAGCTGCAAAATCTATAGATATTAGTAGATGGTTCCAGAAGTTTCATTACTCACACCTTATTCTGACAATAAATTTGTTGTCAAGAAAATAGCAATGCTAACAAATAATCTGAAAAAATCTCAGGTTACCAAAGCAAAATGCTAATAGGAAAATAGAAGATTAGAATATCAACATAGAGACGAGACAAAGAAACATGAGGAATAAACTGCTAAAGTTGCAACACATAAATATCACATTTCAAATGTTAGTTATAAAAAAAAACTTATAACTGAAGATATACTCCGAACAATGATTTATATCTACAACATTTTAACACTTTTGGGCATATTTTAGGTTAGGCAATGTCCAATTACAATCAACGTTATGTGGACTTGCATAATGTCTGAGACACAAATACATTCCCAAGTGTCAGATTCATCAGAATCTAACCTTTTATGCTTAAAATCAAGGATTTGCATGGAATATGTCACAATATTTTATTTTATTTTATTTTTTTGAAAAGTTATCAAGTATTTTATTAATTAATGGGTCATACAAATGAAGATTATTATCAATTGAAATCTGAAAGAAACAACATGAAATTGGACAACCCATCTATATGCTTAGCATTTGTAAGTCAAATAAAACAATTCTCTAATCCGCTCTATTGTTCGCATGTGTGTATTTGAAGCAACGGATGTTCCTCTCTCCACGCACACCATACGCTGTGACCCGGAATAAGATCCCGTACAAGCTTGCTACTCTTGTTGTGGAACCTTCTCCTCCATGCTTTAACACGCCTTCCATACACCGTAGAAACACCCATTTCACGTGTTGAGACGCCAGAACATCGTTCCATAGCAAACGAGTAGCATCACAATGAAAAAACAAGTGCTCAATTGTCTCTACATTCCTTTTACACATATAGCACCTCTCTGTAACATAAAAACTCGTTCGAAGATTGTCCACCGTTAACACTTATCCTCCTATAACCGTCCATAGTAAAAATGCCATCCTTTGAGGCAATTTACATTTTCATACCATCTTCTAAGGGAATTAACTCTCCACATATCCTAATAAAGATCTAAAATAAGTCTCAACTGAGAAGATACCGTCACGTATCAACCTCTACCTGCTACAATTTCCCTCTCCTACCCCAACGTGCACCTCATACAAAGATACCAAAAGTGACACAATCATCCACTTCCCAGTTCTGCAAACCCCGTCCAAAAATATTGTTCCAACTGAGACTTCCGTTGTGTATATTTAAGACCTCACTCATCTTAGTAGATGGCACCAGAGCGATACAATGCAAAGAGGGAAACATCACGCTAAACGGTTCCTCTCCACACCAATAATCATCCCAAATTCTAATAGTATTACCGTTTCTAACCACAAAAGTCAATCTATCTCGAAAATCGTTCCACCCTCGTCGGATGTACCTCCACAAACCCACCCAGTAAAAACCACGAACCTCGACTGAGCATCATCCTCCCTCTATAACACCATATTTTGCTCCTATAATTTCTGTCCAAAAACTCTCTCTACTTCGAATCGCCACAATCACTTATCCAACAAGGCCTTATTGAACAATATAAAGCTCCTTGTCCTGAGGATTTGGTACTGTTGCGGTGATTATAGAGGTTGCAATTTTGGTAGTATCCTGGCTTACAGTGGTGGATGCTCAGCCATTGTGTTATTGTGGCTGTGATGGCTGACTGGCAGCAATTTTGCTCCGATATTTTATCGGTTACTAAGTGAAGGTGGTGGGATCTTCATCTCAACTTTTCCTTTATCTACATTTCTTCTTTTTGCATATTTCCAATTCCATTACAGAATTTTTGGCTGATGTCACCACCCAATTTAGCCCTGTTTGAGCCCCATTTTTTAAAAAATCATTTTTCCCAAATTCATTCTCAACCGCACATTTTCCCAATAAAATAATCTCACATAAACCCAAACTTTTCCCTACTTTTAAACCACACATTCTCGAAAAAAATCACCTATCAAAAAATCTATTTCCCAAAAATCGGGAATCAATCAGAGCCTTAGTAAGCCACTCAATATCATTTCCAGCACATGACAAACAATCAGAAAGTAGCAGGCAGGGTTTCAGAAAACAGAGGACTCTTCAACTTATTCTAGAAATAGAGAGATGTTTTTAACAGCTTCTAAATCATGCAAGGGTGTCTCTGTTTGCCCTATTGACAAAGTGATGAAAAATATCATGGAACTTTTCCTCCATATATCTACCATCATAGAGATTGATTCCTAACGATAGAGACAACATTTCAAAAATATTCAGTTCTTCATTTCACAAATTATTTATTAGTCTTTTACCCAAAGATTCCAATTTGTTCGCCTAGAAATCAGCCATTCCCAGTAAAACTTTTACATACCAATAGTCCTGCTATTTTTGAATATTTTAGACAAATGATGCATGTATGCCAAGAACAAGGAGAAAAAGTCAGATCTCATTCTCTCCAAGGTTTAAAACACGAGAGGTCAACCATCTCTTCCAGCACTTAGCTGAATTTATTTTCAATAGTTTGGCACAAGCAAAGACCACATGTAGAATGGCAGATGTGCATAATATAATAAGTTATTATAAAAAAAAAAAATAAATAAAGTAAAACATGCAATGGTGGACAACATACCGGCAGACTGTTTAGAAGAGCTAGTATCATAGACACATGGAAAG